GCAGGCGGAATCACTCCGGTGAAGCCATTGTTGCTCAGGGACAAGTTCCGGAGCTGCGGGAAGGCGCCGAGCCACGGCGGGATTTCTCCGCGAAATCCGTTGTTTCCCAGGTTGAGATGCTTCAGCCGGCGCAACCGAGCAAGCTCGGCGGGTATCGTGCCCCCGAAGCGGTTGGAGCGGAGGTCGAGGCGGGCGAGGAAGGAGAGGTTCCCCAAGTGGGGCTGGAGGGTACCCGTGAGGTTCATCTGGGGCAAGTTGAGGGCAGTGACCCTTTGGTGCTTGGAGCCACAGGTTACCCCAACCCAGTGGCATGGGGAGGTGGTTTGGGACCAGTTGGCTGCCAGGAGGCTTGTAGGGTCTTGGGTGATGTGGGCTTTTAGAGCAAGAAGGGCAATTTGGTCTGTGGTGATGCTTTTGTGGGGAATCTTTAGGGGAGTTGCCCTTAAGAAGGGCAATAGAATCACTGCCATTAGAGGCAGCAGCCCTGAGAAGCCTGGTTTTCTCATCAGGAGTTTTGTTAGTCTTTTTTTTTGTTTTGTTGAAAGTAAGGTAGTTTGTTTGTTGTGTTGGAAATGGTGGTACTTGTAGTGATGTAATTGTTGTACGGAGTATATTTCTTTCTTGGCCAAATAGGGTCAATACTCCCATCGTTTGCAAAATATGCAGCAATACCCCCTTGTTTTCAAAATTTATCTCTAAAATTCTTGTGGTTTCAAAACGTTGCACCCATGCTTCCTTTGATCATTTTTCGGTCATTTTTCCGGCGAAGAAGTGGTGCATTCGTGCATATTTTCTAAACCATGGGGGGTACCAGTGCTGATTTTTTTATTTCTCTCTTTTTTTCCCATTTTTTTCCTTTATTTGTTTCATTTATTAATAAAGGTTATTTTACAATTACTTTTATAATGTTCTTAAAATTTAAAGTTATTTTTATTTGAAAAAAATAACATATAATGCATCGTCAAGTTTCAAATTAACAAATTTTGTTTTTTCCGAAAAAAAGATAATTGTTTTTAGAACTTCTAAATAATGATGAATAAAATAAGAAACAAAATAATACAAAAATAAAAATGATTATCCTCTTTGGACATCTCAATTTTAAGGATATTTTTAGGTATGTTCCAAAATTGTTTTTTGTAGAAGACTCTTTTTTCGTATTTTAATTTTTTCATTTCGTTTTTTCATATTTTTATTTTGGGTTTTCTTTTTGAACTTTCCAAAAAATTATTCTATGTAAGAAAAAGTGAAAATGTTTAATTTGAGATAGATGAAATGTATGTTATTTTTTTTCTTAGTTCAAACACAACGAATTTTAGAAAATTTTAAAACATTACAAAAAATTGAAAAGAAATTTTAAAAAAATTTAGGAAAAGGAAAAAGAAGGAAAAACACAAACAATAAACGAAAAATAAAAAATGAGCACGAGTGCCCCCTATGGTTTAGAAATTATGCGCCAATGCTCCTTTTCGCCGAAAAATGGCCAGAAAATGATCAGGGTGTGTGGGTGCAACGTTTTGAAACCACAGGGACTTTAGAAATAAGTTTTGAAAATAGAGGGGGTATTGGTCCCAATTTTCAAACCACATGGGCACCCGAGTTATTAGGCCTTCTTTCTTTTGAGCAATTCTTGTTGCATTTATCCTAAGACAGTTGGGTAGGCACTAGGCATTGATTGTTGGACATAGATATATGTTTCCTACCTCCTAAAAACAAATTTTAATTTTATATCACCAACATTTAAAAATTTAATTCTAATGATTCTTACTCCCTCTGTCCCCAATTTGATTATAAATTGCGGGTTACGGAGTAAAATTTCCTACTTTTTGAAATTATTTTATTTACAAATTGATATATCAATAAGATATAAAAAATACATATTAAAAAAACTACGTCAAAAGTTCAACAAAACAAGAGGTGACAAGAATATTTTATTTTATCAAATACTTAATGAAATCGCGAAAATAAACAAAAGTTATCGAGAGGAGAGAGACGGGCTAGGCTGTTGGTGCCACATTTTTAAAGGTTTTAAGGGTATTGTTGCAACTTTTAAAGTTCGGGGGAATCTGTGTCATTTTGAAAAAGTTTAAAACTAAATGACACAAAAAATTCATTTATTTAAAAAAAATGAAACAACATAACTTAAAGAAAAAAATTATCTAGAGTAATCACAATTTTATCCGTTCTTTCGAAAATAATCTCATCATTCAATGCGATGCATAATGATCTCATCTTCACTGAAATTTGTAAGTTTTGGGTTGCTATTAAGCTATTAACGGCTAATTAACAGAAATGGTTTGTTTTGCGCAACAAAAGAAACATTAGGATTATTTATGATAAATTTTGATTTTTTTAATTTTTTTTGAAAGTTTCTCTTTAATTCTTAGAATGACTTTTGACTGCTGTCATTTTTTAAAGATTAGTCTTACCTCGAAAAAACAATAAAGATATATATATATAAAATAAAAAAAATAAGAAAAATTACTAAAATCATACAAATACAATTAAATAAATAAAGCAATCAATAAAAACTAACCTCAAACTGACATCTTCTATCTAATATTTTACGCACAATACAGAGTATCAATATGAAAATAAATAAAAAATTATTTTCTTATTAAAATTCTAAAAAAATATTGTTAAAAATAATTAAAATTAAATTTTGTTCAAGGAAATAATTTTGTATTGTTTACTACTCCGGGCTACACCATCGCCATCCCAATCGATATACGGAGTATTTAATTTTCAACCATCTCTTCAAGACTGACTCATTCATGTGTATTGGTCAAATAATGTTTGTGTTTGACCGGTTCTCGAGCTTCTTCATTCTTACTCCGTACAAGCAACTTTCCATTTTCATTTTTTTATTAAACAATGATACTCTTTTACCATAAACTAAATATAATATAAATAAAACAGTTATATTCTCTCCGTCTCTAAATATTTACCACATTTGTATTCTCGAGGTAAAATATCAAATTTTTTCAATTCATTTTATTTACATATTGGTATAGAAATTAAAAATAAAATTTACATATCAAAAAACTACATGAAAAGTTCTTCGAAATAAGAGGTGTCAAGAATATTTTATTTCATCAAATAACCAATGAAAACGTAGAAATAAACAAAAGTTCTCGCGACTGCTAAAAAAGCAAACGTTGCAAATAATTTGGGACGGAGGGAGTATTAAAATTTGATATATCAAAATTATATCTTAAGATAAACACAATTATATGAAATTTATATTATAATTTAATATATTTTTCTCTCAATTTCTAGTAAAAAAGTATTACTCTTTGACTAAAAAAATCAAAAGTTAAAAGGTTATAGGACTGGAGAGAGTACAATACTTCCCTGGGGCTGGGGCACAACTCAATTCACAACTCATCTTTTTTCTTTTGCAAACAAAAAATAAGAGTAACTTATGTCAAAATTTTACGGAATAATGAGGAAAAAACATTATGGGCCTGTTTGGGAATAGCGTTAGCGATTAGCATTAACGTTTTGAAAAAGCTATCTACATGCAACGTTTAGCATTAACGTTTTTAAAGTAATCTACACCATTAAAATTTTATCTAAAACGCTAACGCTAATCTCTAACGTTATTCCCAAACAGACCCTTTGTATATTAAGTCTTCTGTTGAACATAATAAATCCTTGTTTATATAGGGAATAGAAAAAAAACAAACCTTACAAGATAACTAGTCCGCTTTCAGTAGTCTTTCGGAAAAAAATCAACCTGGGGGCGGCCCAAGCGAGTGTCATGGTAGCTTACCCGTCCCTGACTCCTTTTTTTTCCATAATTTTTGGATTCTTAAATATACTTTCTCTGTTCCACAAAATATTTCCAATTACACATCTTGTCGAAAAAAAAATTATTTTGGCTTAAATAAACATAAATACATTTACCTTTTACCCCTTACTAATTATGACACTTTTCAAGCTCTGCTCACTTCAATTTTCATAATTTTACCTTGGTCAAACAATATAGCTTCCTCTGTCAAAACTCAACATTTAATGTTGTGCGAGACGGGAGAAATATATCATATGCTCCAGTCTTGGTCCAATCATTTTCAGTCCAAACCTCAAAAAAAATAATCCAATATATTTTTATAAGAGTGACATATTTTTATCTTTAAAGAGTTTGCGCTGTAATGATATAACACTGTATATTAACATTCCACAGTATTTTTGGTATAATATGTTGACATTTTTGGTTTTGTTATTTCTATTTTAGTAATAAAAACTAAATTTTATTTTGATATTTTTTCTATCTTACTGCCTAGTTTACCCACCGTTAAGTGTTAAGGAACCAATTCAACCAAAAGCTCAAGCTTGTGGTTGTGGCCCAGGAACAGTTATTAATATTCTAACACGCCCCCTCACGTGCAGGCGTAGTCTTTTTCGAGCCTTGCACGTGAAACCTTAATTTTTTTAAACTGGGTGGCGCTGAATTTCGAACCCGTGATCTCTTAGTCAACGAGGCTCCGATACCATGTTAAGGAACCAATTCAACCAAAAGCGTAAGCTTATGGTTGTGGCCCAGGAACAGTTATTAATATTCTAACATTTACACTATGTTTGGTTCAAGGAATTGAGGAAGAAAGGAAAATGATAAGGAAAAGAAAAGAAAAGAAAGGAAACTCAAAATCCTAGTTATGTTTGGTTAAGATGGAAATTAATGAGGAAAATGTATTCTCATGCTCTTTTTGTTTGGGTAGAAGGAAATTTGGTGAGAAAACAATATAAATTGTGCTTGACAGCTACTGTGCTTCGCATATCCATTCAGCATGGCTCCTTCAATTCCAACCTCATTTAACCACACTTCACTAATTCCAGGAAATATCTTCACAGCTAGAAAGAAGCAGAATTTACTAGTGCTTACAAACAACCCAGTATTTTCATTGCCAAAGGTTAATGACAAAAAATAAAAACCAAAAGAATGAAAGCTGCAACATCATTATTCAAAGTGGAGACACACAGAATGACAAAAAAAGGAATGAAAGCTTAATCACAGTTTATGAAAAGAGCTATGAATTTTTTAAACAAGAAAATAAAGAAGCATAAAAGGAGACACACACAATGAGACAAAACACATAAAAAGAAGCATTATACTGGTTTTGAAACAAGACCAAAATGTGGAGAGACAAACCCTTCTAACAAGAGGCAACATAATAAACATCTCTATATGCATAAAGCATAATAAACAAAAATAGTAACAAATCCCCCGTCCAGACACAGAGCAGGGTGCACAAGCAGGGCGCACATCTACACAGATTCATCATCAAAAATTTCTTCACCAAATTTTACGCGTAGCCACAACTTTTTATGCACCGTTGGACACTTGTGAAAAGCACGAGCAGCGCTCACATCACCAGTAAGTTTTTGATATATGGTCATTTGAGAGAACTCTGACATTCCACCAACTGACGATTCCTGATATGAGTAGGACCACATAGGAAATTAAACTTAGAAGAGACATTTTTTGATACCACATTGTAAGCTGTACTTGAGAAAACTCCACCGATCTTTTGTCCTTTTAGCTTTTGCTCCATGAGAGAATCAAGAAGGAATTCATCCTCTAAGAATATTTACTAGATTCGCAAATGCACCTTTCCTCATTCGTAACTGTTCACGACAGTCCTCATCATTCATATTTGTCAAACGTCTTATCAAACTTTGCCTTTCATAGTCTCTTTCTATTATACTCTCATCATTTTTGTGATTTGGCCCTCGAATTAATGAGATAAGAAAAATAGCATAGGTGGCATAGGCTACAACACAAGCAGCAGCCCACTTTCTGAATTTTTCCCATTGCTCCTCATCATCATCTACATCCATCTAGACATATTGATGCACGGAAAAATATTCAAAGGATAAATATACACTGATATAAGAAAGTTGTACATAAGAAGGATGATAACTTTGATTTGTCACACATCTGCACATATGTAAAATATACCACAACCCATTGCCAACAAAGTGAACAAACACAAGGCAGATAGTATGATGGTATCTCCAGTGGCAGATTACCACCTATTGAGCATATATACTCTGTTGATATTGAATATGAAAAATATGAACTTTTAGATCTATTTTTGAATAAATAAAAGAACTATTAAATATTAGAACCCATATGCATACATAAGTTCATGTTCATAGGCCATTCGAGAGACTGAAGCACATTTTTTTAATCATTAACAAGTTCCCCTAATAGTTCCTTCATGCTACAACATATAAGTTCAAGCACTGTCACATTATATTTGTGCTTTAAATAATGTGAACTATTTGTTTTATAATAATGGTAGTGTGTTCATACAAAAAAAACATGACATTGAATTGAGAGTCATTTAATAACACATACTCAGACTTGTATTAAAAACATGAGCTTAACACACTATCTAAACATAATTTTATTTACCCTATAATTTTAACACACCAACGACATGTTTTTTTCAATGAATTGACAGATTCAAGCACATATATAACTCAAGCGAAAATGTAATCACCTTCACTGCCAAAAGCAGTGTTCAATAAACAACATTTCATCCAAATTTTTCAAGGTGGAGCAAAAAAACACTGCTCTCCCAACAGTTTGAAAGATACACAATTATACACATGATAATTGAACCAAACAGTTCATCAAACACATAAAAGAGAATCTAGGACTTACATGCTCAGTGTCATGCACAAATTGAGTGTCTGAAAAAGCTTCAAATTCACGATCGCTCACCCCAGATGAATGAAGAATAAAGGGTCTTCTTATTGTGCTTTTTGTGAGTCTTTGATTTTGATGAAAAATTGGGCCAGATCTTGTTTCCACAGGAAATTGATGGTGTACGTTTGGTGGCACAAACTTACGCCTAGGCATCGATGTGTTTTGGCGAGAAGACATTGCAGCAAAACCGAAGAAACTCAGTGACGATTGAACGGAGAGAGGCGGCCGTTTATCGCAATTAGGGTTGCGATTGTTTATCGCAGCAATTAGGGTTGTGATTGATGTTCAGAGATGAGAGGCATGGCAGAGACAGGAGATGGGAGCGATAAGACATGGCAGAGACATGGGTGAGCGAGAAGACATGGCAGAGACGGGAGTGAAGGTTTCAGAGACGGGAGCCATGGATTCTCTCATTTTCCGTCCAAAATCCGGAGGAAATTGATTTTGCCTTTTTTTAATTCATTTTATAAGAACTTTTCTTTTCCTCTCACTTTTTCTTTCCTTTTCTCAGTAACCAAACATAAAAAAACATATTCCTTCTATTTTCTTTTCTTTTCCCAGCCAAAATTCTTGAACCAAACATAGTGTAAGCGACCGCAAAGGAATGTGTAGAGGATCCAAAGGGTGTTGGGTAGTCTCACAAAGCGATCAACACACTAAAAAGGTTAACGGGAAGGGCAAACGAGTCACCAAGTGATGTTCATGTTTCTCCTCTTCTACTTCATTTAGCTTGTCACCAAATGTGCTTATGAATTACTCGTACTCCATGGGGAATATATATTAAAAGCGGATGATCAATTAAATCAAAATAGGGAGTAGAAACTAAAAAGTACTCTAATTAAGACCTTATTTGAAAATATGTCGATTAACGTTGCCGTTTTGAATAATATTTTAATGATGTAAATTAATTTTGAAAATATAATATACCCATTTGCAAACATTAATCTCTAATACTGATGTCAAATGAGCCTTCAATCAATGATCTTGATTTTTCTAATATGCTCGTAAAGGTTCTTTTTTTTTTGGTGTGATAAGGATCCATTGGTTAATTGTTTGGGTCACACCCGAACCCTTCTTGCAAATTTTGAAACACGTTCGGGCTTCAAATCAGATAAACAAATTAAATGATACCCGGAGTATGAGTTTTGAATTTGAGACGAATTTGTTTGGAGAGATTTAAAATTATTATTTAATTAGTAATAACCGAGGGTGACTGGCAACGGGAGTGGTCGACGGTAACAATGGTAGGCGGTGATGGAGAATGATCAATAGTTGAGAGAGATATTAAACCTCCATACTGACATCTCCCAAATTCGGAGATCGAAACTCTCCATTTAAAGGATTTATGATATCTGGAGATATCGAATTCCATATTTTTTTTTTGCTTCACCAAACACCCAAAAAGAATTCTAATATCTGGAAATATCAAAACTCACATCTTGTTTACTCACCAAAGACACTCTAAATGGATCAACAAGCATATATTGATACCTTTCACCAATATCCGTTAACAAATGACACCCAAGGTAGAAAAGATGCTGGTTCAATTAGCACGGTTGCGGAGCACCTCAAGATCGAGCTCGGAAGGATCAGTGGCCTGTAACTCATAGTGCACGCCGTCAAGCTCCCTCCTGAATCTGTCCTTGGATGTCGTATATAGCATCTTAGAACGGATCCTCGACCCCGTGGGGGACCTGAAAAGGGCACATTAAACTCCCCTTTTATTCTTCTTTTCTATGAAGTCTTGTGCGGTAAATGTAGCAGCAATGCATCAAGGGTCTAACATAAACAGTCTATTTGTTTTTGTTTTTTTAACCCAATTGAAGTTAGGATTATACTGGGTTTTCTTCTTCTTCTTCTTCTTGTTTTTGTATTTCATCCTGTACAGTTTTAAAAACCATTGTCTTTACTTTGTCTCTGCTTCTGCGTTTGAGTCGGGGGTTTCTGGAAAACAGTCTCTCCACTTCCTAAGTAGGAGTAAGGTGGGCGTACAACCTAAATAAGAAACACTACCCCTCTTTGGCTCACAATAATTGTCGTTTCGGGTGAATTACTTTCCACATTAATTCTATTTTAACACTTTTGCCTGACTCTCTAAGACCTTGTAAAATCAATCTTTAACCATTCCATAACTAATCGATTTGCATGGTTTCTTCCGAAGCTACGCTTATGTTACCGGGATGAACTATGATGCATTGACATGAGTTTTCTAGTCATACTATAGGACTTACCTTTCTTTATCTTGATTCAAGAAATAAAAAAATACTCCGTAGTGTTTAGTGCGATGCCCGGTAACTGAAACAGAACTTACCATGCAATGAAGAAAATTTTGCTCTTTTGGCAGTTCTCTGAGGTAACAAAATCAAAGTCATAGACAGCATATCGGCAATCATTCTCGGGCAACGAGGCAGTAAAATCCTCATAGCTCTCAGCAGGAACTCCAGTTTTTTCAACAACAACTTCCTTCTTTCTCTCATCTATCTTGAAAACCACGTAACGATACACCTTCTTTCTTTGCAATTCCGTGAACGTGTTTTTGCTGTGTTCGGCAACGGCCATGCCAGAGGATGCATTTGCCTAACCAGCACAACCAACAACAATAACAACAACAAACCCAGTAAAAATCCCACAAAAAAAAGTATGGGTCTAGGGAGGTGTGTGTACGCAAACCCGACGGCCAATTGGCAAAAACTAAATTTACTCAAAGTAAAACAACAGTTTTCATGAATACTACCTTTTGAAGTTTAGGTTCAACCAAACCTGTTTTTGGAAAATTACAGGAAAAATTAACTTCAATCTTCCCAAGAATCTGTTATTTCATTCTTAAAACAAAACACCAAAGACCCAATTTCATTCTTTTTTGCACCAACACCTAACCAAACAACCTGGTAAAACAAAACAGTAAAAACAAGATAAACAACAAAGATGTCAAATTCCACCCAATTTCTCAGAAATTCAGTATCACGGAGAAAGAAAATCTGAAGAAGAAAGAAATTCATGACTGGTTTCTCATTGCAAAAAAAAAAGTCAACACATCTTCAAGCTAAACGAAAAATGCTGCAACCAAATACCCAAATATTTGTTGATGTGAACAGCTAAATACAATATCAGTCCATTGCAGTCAACCCATCTTCGGTTGCAGATTCAAAATTCGGTCAGGAAAATATTGGAAAAGGAGAAGTTATTCAGATCTGAACACACAGAAATGCTAAAAAATAGTTTGAAGAACAATTACCCCTCTAAGGACATGACTCTTGATCGAGTTGCAGAACCACGGATGAGCCAATCAGGAGATAAAATTAACACCCCTGCCTCTGTAATAAATCAATAATGGTGTGTTTGGTTGGAGCCTGAGAGGGGAGGGAAGGTTTTCAATGAACTTATTTGATCACACGAGTGGCATTTAAAAATATATTGACCATTGATTTTTGGTTTTTTTCTAACAATTGATTTTTTTCCTGCAAGAAATAAAACTTAAGTAGAAATTAGGAAGCAATCTCTTGCATATAGAGAGCTAATAGTCTCAAATATAAGGATGGTAAGATATTAAAGCTTAAGCATGCATCGTTTAAGAAGATAAGTAATACCCCGAAGTATATGTGAAATTGCGAAATATATTTCATATTAAAACTTTATTTTCGGACGGAGAAAAAAGAGAAAGGTAAACTTTATTTCCGGACGGAGGGAGTAGTATTCATTTTTGCCATTGTTAGGAAGGAATTATATATTAGTATCTATATAATACAACTTTGCCTTACAACCAACGTTTCGGTTATGTTCGTGCTGGTCAAGAACGATGATTGATCTTTAGATGGATGATTGTTTACCACTTTTGTTGCAACGATTAGAATAAAACTAGTCAAATGATTTCATCTTAACCACCCGTGCTCGTGTGTTATACAATAATGTGTATAATGCACATCTATTAGCAACATTTAGGGGTGAGCGTAGTACGGGATGGTACGGTATTTAGCTCGTACTGATACCGTACCAAATATTTCGGTTCGGTATGGGATTTTACGTTGTACCGATACCGATTCGGTTCGGTATGGTTTGGGATGGTTCGGTATCGGTTTCGGTACAAATCGGGATGAATATATATGTACCTAGTTTACATCATAAATGTAAAAAAACCTTTTATTTTTGAAAAACCAAAAGTACATTTAATCAAAGAAAGATAAAAAAATTTAAAAATGAAAAAATAAAACGCAAGAAATGCTTATGAATGTTAGTTTATACTTCACAAACTAAAGAGAGAGTGATAAAAAAATATTATTTCAAATATTTGTTAATATTCTCATACTCATCTACAAAAAATAAAAACACTCTTATTAAAGTGCAACTTAAATATAATGAATTTAAACTAAATTGTCTATATAAATTTTTTATTTAATGAAAAATATAAAAAGATTACTATTTTTAAAATATATAAGTATATATGTTCGGTTCGAGAATTTCGGTATGGGAAGTAATCTCGTACCGTTCACAAATACCGGACCGACAGTTTGGTTCGGTATGGTTCGGTTTCTTTTCGGTACTTTATCGGTTCGATATTTTTTGGTTCGGTATTCTCGATTTTTTCAGGAAATATCAGGATCGGTTCGGTCCTTGCTCACCCCTAGCAACATTTCATACTCCTTTCGTCCCAATTTAAGTCGTCTATTTATTATTTACAAAGTCAAATGTTAACAATTTTCTTTGCTCATTTTCACTACTCATTTGACAAAACAATATAGTAGTTAGTCATATCGACTCTAGTTTTGTAAAATTTTTAATTTAGTTTTTAAATAAATAAATTTTATTTTTTTAATTCTACACCAGTTTTTAAATAAAATAAATTGAAAATAATAAATTTCAGTAAAACCTTGTAAACAATAAGAAATGATTTAAACTGGAATTGAGGGAATACAAAGTAACAAATAATAATAGTAATAGTAATAGTATCAACAATAATAATAATGATAATAATAATAATAGTAATATTAATAACAATAATAATAATGATAATAATAATAATAAGAAAGTTAGAAAAAATTAGAAAATACAGAAAAAAAATTGCAAAAGCCGTAGAGATTAAAAAATGAAAGTAGTAAGAGCCGCGAAAATGGAGCTCCATGGTACAACCGTTTACAGCGCACATCGAAATTGTCACTGATTTAATTTAATCATCCCTTTGATTTCAATCTCCTTTTCTGCGATTTTCTGGATTAGGGCACAGAGGTTCAAACCCTAAAGCCGCGCTTTCTTCAATCTTAAACAAGAGGCAGAAGCTTCAAGATGAGCTCCGGAAGGTTGAGAAACAGGTCAAAATCTCACTCTTTTATGAATCTGTGAGGCTCCGTTTGTTGATGTTTTCTTTTCTTTTTTTGATGATTTTATGACTGGAGTTTTGCTATGTTGACTTCTTGTTGTTTCAATTATTAGTTTTTTGCGTCATTTACTATGGAACTTTTTAGAAATTGTGCAGATTCAATAAAAATGGCACCAATGCTCTCTGAACTTTTAAAAATGTTGCACCAATGGTCCCTATCTTCCAGATTTGGGAGCGTATTAATCGCACGCTCATTCAGTGTAGGTATAGATTCATCTAAAGTCATATATTACACGTGAGTTCTGCGATATTCCATTTCCAAACACTACCTTTTATACTTTTAACTGCTTTAAATCCTAGATAATTATTCTCCACTTAGTCGTCGGTAACCGAATTCGTTTTCCGGACATTAGTCGATAAAATTGGTCATCAAGCGATTAACCTCTTCGTCAATCAATGACATCTTCGTCAAGCTCCAACACGTATATTGGTGAACGTTTAATTAACACACTCTGGAATCTAGCACAGAGGGACCATTGGTGCAATTATTAAAGTTCATGGTGAATCCGTGCAGTTTTTGAAAAGTTTAGGGGGGAATGAAGCAAAAAACTCTATTGCCAAATGGATACTTGCAGGATGCTGGATTTATGGTTATTTGGTGTTGCAGGTATATGAGTTAGAGACAAGTTATCTGCAAGAAAGTGGAACCTTTGGGAATGCATTAAGAGGCTTTGAAGGGTTCCTATCTTCCTCAAATAAAAATTCAAAGTATGGGATTTTCGTTCAATCATCCACTTTGATGCTTCATTTTCAATGTCTAGAGCTAACTTATGCTCATTTCTTTTGAAAGATTATTGTCATGTCATTATTGCTTTTTAAATGTGGTATTTGTTTTCTTTATTTTGCGGATATTTTGTTGCTTTGATTAGTTAACTTGTTCTGATGCCATTTAAGTATTTACCAGCCTGAAGAGATCAAGAAAATTTCAACTTGAAGATGGATTATTTTCTCTCTCCTCTGTGACTTCAACTGCGGTAGGCATTCCATTCTATATATACGGAGTATCAGTTTTTATCCGTCATGAGTTTTTTTTCCCCAAGTTTTACAGTGAACCAAGTCTTGTAAATCCCGAGTAACATCTGTGATCTGCCGTAAGGCAAATTTGAATAGCAACTCAGCTGAATTTTTATTCTTCTATTTGGGATAATGTTCAGTTCTGTGACTTCTGTCATTTAAATGGTTAGCATAGGTGCCTATAAAACACAGAGAGCTTGTTTCTATTAGACCCAAGATGATTATAAGTTAACCCATGAGCATTATTATTATTATTATTATTACTCAATATTATTTTGCTGAATTGGGCCTATGACTTGACCATTAGTCTTTCTTTTTTTTACAATAATATGCATAAATATTTCTAAAAACCATAATTATGCTCCCACTATTCTCAAATAAGCTGCATCCACTGTCACTTTATTCTCCAGTACTTACAATAACAACAATAAATTCAGTAAAATCCCATGAAAATAGTGTTCCGGAGAGGGTGTGTGTACGCAGACCTACCTTTACTCAGAAGTAGAGACGTTGTTTCCAACACCCGACTCAAACTAGGCCCAAATTAGAGAAATCACACATTCACAAGCTACAAACTAAGGTAAAAACGCACCCGCATAGAGTATGAACTAAGGCCCAAAGGTCTAATCGAATCCTAGATCTCTACACGTTCCTATCTAAAGTTATACCCTCAGTAAGTTCCTGAAATTGTAAGTATGTCTAATCACCTCCTTCCAACTCTTCCTAGGTACCTCTACCCTTTCATTACATGAATTGGACCTTGTTATCGGGGGGGGGGGGGGGGGGG